GATCGATGTATGAATAGTTGATGTAATAAATGAATTAATAAAGTTAACGACTGATAAATCCTGCTTTTTTTTTTTTGTATGACTCATAAAAATTTGACAAGTTGTTTTCTAAAATAATAGATTAAATTAATTTAAGAAATGATTGCATTTGGTTATTCCGAGTATATCGATATATCGATATATCGATATGCAAAAAATTCCTATAAATATCGTTCTAACTACTAAAACTATCTAAAAATTCAAACCTTTTAAAGCAAGTCATTTATCAAAAAAAATAAAATAAAAAATAAAATTTTGATTCACATTCTCATCTTTAAATAGCTCAATTATTGAGGTGATAGGTGGTTGACGTTACAGCGTTAGCCTGTTGGCTTGTTTTAACAAATAAATATTTCATTTTTTGCATGATTTAAATTCTGGAACTTAATTTTGAACGGATGACTAAAAAAAAAAATATATATTTATATTTAATAACTTATCAAAAAGAATCAATAATAATGATATCAAGTTGCTGAGGGGATTTAAACAGATGATATTGTTAAAAACGTGAATAAATAAATAAAAATAATAATTAATACTTATTTAAGCAAAAAAAAAGTGGGATGTTTGTTTTTTTTTTTCTGAACCCGGGTCTGATAAATATTTATTCAACTTCATCCGATTTTATTTGTTTCCTTTTTTTTACTTTTTAATTTCTTTTATTTAATCTTTTATTTGTTTCCTTTTTTTCTTTTCATTTCTTTTAATCTTTTTTTTTTTTTTTTTTTTTTTACCTATTTTCCGTCTTTCTTTTAATTTTTTTACTTTAGTTTTTATAAAAAATGCAAGAAAAACCGAAACTTTCAATTTCAATTCACAAACCTTCAAAAATATCTTATAAATCACTAAAAGAGTCAACTTCAAACAAACTTTCAAATATTCGTAAAAGATTATCAACTATATCTAGTCTTGATTCCGGTATTGGTTGGTTAGATGAATCTGATGATGAAGAATTTCATAACCCTACTCATAATAATAATTCACAAAATACCGTTGAAAATTCAACTAATGGAAATCCAACTAATGAAAATTTAAATAATGACACGACTAATTACGAAAATTTTGAAGTTGAAACTACATCAAAACAAATTTGTGATAGAGAAAATGGTATTATAAAAAATTCTTTTTTTTTGTCATTTTACACGTGAAAATAAAAAAAAGAAAAAGTTTACTATTTTTATTATTAAAAATAAGGTTCTTCCGCGTTCGTTCCTCTAAAACCAACGGATTGTGTCACTTCAAAGTTTATCGAAATAATAGAAACAACGTCTGTTGACGATAAACTTACTGAAAATACCGTATCAAGTTTAAAATATTCAACGTCAAAGTCTTCAAGATCAAAGTATTCTTTTATCCCTTATCGCCTTATGCAAACACATAATCGAGCTAAAAATACTTTAATTACAAAATTTAACACATTAAATACCCATGTACCAAGTAATGAACCTTCCACGAACAACACACAAGCTCAAATAACAAGTAATTCTTATGGTAATCTCAAAAGTTACTCTTCTGGAAATAGCCAAATTCCTTCGACGAATCTATTGCTTGATATCCCTCCTCAAAATGATAAAAGTAATAATTCACATTATCCTGAAATAGAAAGAGGATCAAGAAACTTGGCTAAACCAAAAAGACGTAAAAATTTATTTGAAAAAGTTAAATTAGATGTTAAAAAATTCTTAACTATCAAGAACAATCGAAAAGAGAAATATGAAGCCAAGAATCAACCCGGAAAAATCAATCTTTTCGAACAATAGGCAAAGTAGATTATGAGAAAACATATTGTATAGAAAAATTAGATGAAATATAGAAGGATAAGGTATTAAAACGAAACATGTGAAATGTGTGAAATAATAATTAGAGGGGAAATTAATAAATTACTTTATATATATATATATAATATACGTATACGTATAATATATATAATATATATAATACATGTAATATATGTATGTATGTATGTATGTATGTATGTATGTATTCAGTATATACGTATATACCTTTTCACTTTATAAACTCCCTCCCTCGTCTACCGCCAAATAAATTATAATTCATCATAAATGATTTGTATATACGGATTCGTCCGAAATTCCATAGTTTACTAAATTGGTTTTTCTTTCAAATTTAGAATAATGTACACTCAATTCATGAGTTAAAAATTTAATCATTAATACTCGTAACGAAAGATTGATTACCAAAAATAAACATTTTTATGTATAAAAAAGCCCTTATATTTTATATATAGATAATTTACGAGTGGCATTTTTTTGAAAATTACCTCCGTGTACATACAATGCATTTGATAACTTTAAGGCTTACCTTTACTTAATATAGGTTACATTTACGTAGCAAATAAACTTTAATAATTAATTATATATATATAAATATATATTAAATTACGTACGTAGAAGATTTATGATCTACTTGTTAGAGATGTTTATTAAGAGTTCTGTAAGGGATTCTTCTCGGAAAGTAACATTGTATTTACCATTATTTCAGGATCACGCCACAATTCTTAGCTATGTATGATACGTAGTCTAATTAAAATCGATACTGGATTACTTTTTTAAAAAATGACGTAATTTGTTAAAAAAATAGCATTTTTTATAGTATTTGTTAAAAAAAGCATTTTTTATAGTATTTGTCAAAAACTTGATCTTTGAACGTTCCGACATTTAACTTTCTTAAATTTCCTTTAGTGTGAACACTAATTAAAACTCGCTATACCGAGTTCTCTCGTTAAAAATAGATTTTACAATATTAAATCGAAATTTTACTATTACCACCACTGGTTCAAGTTAAAAAATACCTTTCTCTGAAGCAAAAAAAAGTTACAGCACCCAGTATTCCCATGTTGTCCCCAACCATAGTACTGACTGGGCCATCAGTGGCTTAACTTCGGAGATCGGACGGGTTCCGGTGCCTTTCACTGTGTATGGCCGTAACTGATAGAAAGTTTTATCACTAATATTATAAATAATCTCAAGAAATTATATAATTATAAGAACTCGCTAGTTATACAGTTAACATTTGTAAGGTTCTACAAAAAAAAATCACGGATTAGTTCTGGTAAAATTAGGAAAATTCATAAATATAATCCCGTATGGTTATTTTCATATAGAGATCCCAATAATTATTGGCTGCTTCGCTTCGCTTCCAATAACTAACTATACGTATAATATTTATGCACATATCACCTTATATTCGCTCATCTTTATTAAATGAGAATAATCATTGTCGGAACAATAAAAAAGTGAAAGATTCTTATGCACCTACGTGTGAACCTAACATGCATATCTTTTTAATTATACATGGATATTTCCGATATGTAAAAAATTTACACAACAGAAATACTTACTCGAAATTAAAAATTTTAGATTTAATCCACTTTTGTATTGAGAAAGGATAATTTTTTTTTTATGTAATAAAATACAAAAATAAAAATATAAAATTATTGTCCTATAAAAGTTTACATCATATTGTTTTAAATACTGTAATTTAAATTCCGATAAAATGAAAAGGGAGTTTGCATACGTATTGCATAAATTATTTACAATTCACTAACTAAATTTTATTTTGTTTACCAAAGAATACTCCTAAAAATAATTGTACGATCAATCTTTGGATATTTTCTTTAAAAATTTTATATCTAATATATACAGTGTATAACTTTAATGCTTTTTTTTTTAAAATAGATTATAAAAAAAAAGTTGTTTTTTTTTATTGTAAACGAAACTACTAAATTATTTTACATAGTATAATTAATGATAATGAATAGAATCTATTGTCAACCAAAATGAATTCTATTATTAACAAGTTCGGAAAGTTAGAGTTATCTTTTACACTATATTCGTACATTTTCTTTTATAGAAATACTACAATAAATATCGATGAGTGAAATTCTTTTGCAGGTGTTTTAAATATCTATTTGTTTCGGTTCAGAGGAGTAATAAACAATATTGTATGTAGTGATTGTATTCGTGTTAACTCATGATTCACGAATAAAACTCAAAAAAAAAAAAAAAAGAGTTCTATTCGAGTTAAAGTTATTCGGGTTTTTAATTGCTATTTTATGAAGGAAATATTTTCATGTTCCGATTAGTAAAGGGAAAGTTTATTTTCTAATGATATTAAATATGTAGAAACAATTGTATAAAAATAATAGTTATACGTACACTGAATGTCATGGATATAAACGGAAATGAAATTTCCAAAACCCAGTGTATAACTAATATATACCCTGCGGTCTGACCAGGGTATAATATATTTTGACTCACAAGTTGAGTTTAATCACTAATTGCGTTCATGGGAATTGGGATTTATGTATGAAATCTATAATAACTATGTATAATAAATTCGATATCTTAAGCCGTTGTATTCTGTAGAATTATTAGATGATATTACCGTTAAAGAAAGCCACTAAACATGATACAGATCATTAGCACATTGGGTTCAACTATATTCGAATATCATGGCAATTAACATTTTTGATTATCTGCCAAGGAAACTTACATAGAATGAAGATGATAAAATGTCTCCTTTCGTATTATGTAATTATTGAAACGATAAAGTTATAGCGTGCCAGTTAAATTTAATAACAGTGAAAGAAAATATACAGAAGAATGTAGCGTGCCAATATCGTCATACAATAAGTAAAAATGAACGTTCAATTACTGTATTATTATATTATTCCTTATTGTTATAATTTTTAACGGCAAGTTGAATATACGTGTTTCAATTTTTGTGAGTATGCATTCAAAAATAAATAAATAAATACATTAAAATCTGTATTAGTAATTATGTGTAAAAGTTATAAAGTATATTCTTAAGAGATTATTCATTTTCTTCCGTACTATTATTACTATTATAGTTTGTGAAATTATGGACTTTACAAATAATCGTCTATTAGCAAAATAATTAACTTTTTTTGATGACATTAATTTATATTCAAGTTCTTTATCAGCTACAAATAATTTTAATAGCGAATTATAGTTTAGTATATTTATAAAAGTTTGTGAGAAATAAAATGTTTATAGTTGAGTATAACTAAAACCTTAATTATTTGAAATACACAGCACAGGGCATCACAAATTTGTGCTTTTAATAGGTGTCAGAAGTATTTTCTTACGCTAAAAATACGAATGTAATTACAGTCGACACTTAGGTTCTCTAAGTACAGGTCACATTTAACTGTAAGTTCAGCTTCGGGTCCAAAACATATACAGTAGATAGTATAAATTTTGCTTTCTCTAAGTGCTGATTTTTTTTTTTTTATATGATTTTAATAAATCTTCTAGACCTGGGAGGCAACGTTTAGAGAGTCAACCGTATATAAATAATTTGATAACGTTATTTTTTTATAAAAAAAATATTTTAAATTTCTATACAATGTCTTTTTTCTTCAATATTCACATGAGTAGACGAGTTATAAAAGTAACTTTGATATTGTTATAAAAGATTTCTTTCTGTTTAAACTTCAAGTTAATTGAATAGTAAGATAATATACATGAAAAATTAAATCACTTGTGTTCTAAAAAAAAAAAAAAAAAAACTTGGTATAAACAAACTCTACCAAACTTACTCCAAATCCTGATTCTAAAACCTACCGATAATCTACCGAAACTTTCTAATTTACAAAAAGGCGTAATGACAAAACCATCATTAGCCAAAAATTATACAAATGGTCTATACACAAGTTATACTTTCGTTGATAAAATGAAAACTTATTTTGTAACGGTTATCACCTCGAAACAATTAAATTTTTTCTTTTGTTAAATTAGTATAATAATGAATAATAAAGATTAGTTTTAATTATCTAACAGAACTCAAAAGTTTCTTCAATGGCCTAAATACAGAAATAAACATAACAAGAATGTTCTCGATAGATAGATGATGAATTACCCTTTTATACTTATGACATCAGTTGTTTTAAAACATTTTACAAAGATTAATTATATAGCCTTTGAAGTATTCGGATTTAGATCAATAAATTATTAATTTAATTAAATTCATAACACATACTCATAAAGTTCCCGATTGATAACT